ATATTTCAGCTTCCTCACCTGTTTCTTGAATACACTCGTATATAATACAATCTGAATCTATGCTTTCAGATACTTCCACATCAGCTTCGTTTATTTCACCTGAATCGATAACTTCATACGCATTCTGCGTACATTTTGCGCCAAAAATTTGATGAAGCTTATGATAGTGTGGGCAAATTTGTAATACTTTCCCTGAAATGTAGATTTTTTTAATGTACATAAATATGAATCTGTTAAAAATATTTTACCTTCAACACTATTAGCCCCAGCGTCGATTTCCAGGAGTCCAGCACCGGTTGAGCTGCGCCAATCCGAAGCGTCCTTGTAAGTCGACTTCAAATGTCGAACCTTCCATCGAATTAGCTCCCATGTAGCGTTGATACCAGTCTTTTCGATGAGTTTTTTATAAAAAATTTGTGCTGTAGGTTTCTAGAAAATGGGAAGTGGTAATTACTGATTCTATTTAAGTAGGGGCACCTGCGACTGGCACTCCACACAAGCCAATTCCGTAATGATCTGACCACTGCAAATCCCGCAAATATTTTGCTTACCTCAATTTCTTGGGAATCCATCAAATAGTTCAGTATGGTGTTAACTTCTTCCAAAGTCCATTTTTTGTTGGGTTTTTCTCTTTTTATTTTCTTCTTAATAATTTTAGTTTCCATTTTACTTTACGTTTCCTTTTTTGTGCATCAGCTTTGGTTTTGTTTATGAATTTAATCAGCTGATAGAAATGTCAACCAGAGTTGCAATGCATAGCATTTTTATGCTATGGATTTTCGGTATTGCAAATTTGTCAAGCCATGACAAATGCAAATTCGTGTATTTTGTTTGTGTATTGCAAATAATTTGCAATACAAATTTGCAATGCAATGATGCTAGGCCATTTGCACCGGATCGCGAATAGCCCTATAATAAAAGGAGGATGCATTCAACGCATCAACCAACACTTTTCCTTTTGCACTAGTAAGCACATCTCCAAAAATTTTAGCACGAGCGTTGAAATCACCACCAATAACCACATTGTTTTGTTGTTCACAGAAAGTAAATAAATTGTTAATTTCATCTTTAAAGGTTTGTGGTCGAAAGCCGAGGTCCAAAATATGCCGAAACAAAAATAAAATTTGGTTGCAAGTTAGTCTAGTTATGACATTAATGTCTGCTGTTGATTGCAAATTTATTACTTTGAATTTAATATTGTTTCTGACAGCAATGGCGACTCCACCATATCCATCATACCGAAATTTTGAAACCATGTTAAAGTTTAGCAGCTTAAGCATAAAATCATCTTCGTTGAAAGATAAAACTTGCGTAAAAAGACAAACATCTATTAAATTTGTATTTATGAACATTTCAATTAAATTCTTATTTGTTCTAAAACTTTGTATTACCTTGTTTATACCGACACATAAAGCGCTGTGACACAGTTCGGTGTGGTTCAAATCATATATAATAATCAGGGAACGGATTTTTAGGACCTAAAAACCTATAAAAAAGGTAAAATAAAATAACGAAATAGGCTGGAAAAGGCAAAATAAAATAGCAAAAAAGGCAGTAAAAGGCACTAGGTATTGCAAAAAAAGCAACATAAGGCACTAAAAAAAGACAGAAAATACGAAGAACAATCAAAAAATACATTTATTTTAAAAATGTTTATATTACAAGTAAAAAGAAAAAAACAATGAACTAGTTGCATTATATGAAAAATTTGTACTTTGAATCTTTGACTTTTTTATCCTTTCGAGTTTCTAACTCATAAAACTTTAATCTGTACAGTTGTAGTAACATTGAACCACAAGATGCGTTTTGAAGTTTTCTGGCAGCATTTTCATTCGATTTTCGCGAAAAAAGCCTTGAATGTACTAAATGTGCGCTCGACGTAAGTTGATACAAGTGGAGCCCAATTGAAATATGGAACGTTTGAAACGTTCATATTATCAGGAATAAGGGCGTTTTCCTCGCCCTTTACAATTTTATCCACACCCCTTATTGTCTCCAAGCCTACGTTAGCTGAGAAAACGGCTTTGAATTTTTCCAACACCAATTTGGCAAGAGCTCCCTGCGCTTCTATAAGCCGCATAGGCATGTGTATATTTTTTAATCTTAAAAAAAAAATTGTAAATGCTATAATCACTTTTTTAAGGGTAGAAAAGGCAAAAAAAGGCAAATATCTTAAAAAAGGCAAAAAAAGGCAACATCAAATGTGTATATATGGAATCAGGGAAAGCTAAATCGTGGACATTCTTAAGCGAATATACTATATCTCTTTAGCAGAAAAAAAGGCAATTTCCATAAAATCCGGTCCCTGATAATAATAATAATAATAGATTGGCGCTTACACATATGTTAGTGTTTGGTCGAGCTTCTCCTCCGATTTGTGGCGTGCGCCTTGATGTTGTCACACAAAGCGGAGGGACCTACAGTTTTACGCCGACTCCGAACGGCGATTGTATTTTTATGAGAAGCTGTTTTTCATGGCAGAAATACACTCGGAGGTTTGCCATTGCCTGCCGAGGGACGACCGCTGTTAAGAAAAAACCTTTTTTCTATATTTTTTGCTTTATTGCTTTGAGCAGGGTTTGAACCCAGGTGCTGCTGAGTTGAAGCGCGCACTGCTGACCACTACACCACAGCGGCCGACTGTCAAATCAGATGCATAAACAAAATTTCAATGCACGTTGAAATCGAGAAGTGTACTGACTCAAATTAGCTTTCAAATCTGTTTTTTTATTTGTCACATCGGTTAGAAAACCCGTATAAACGAATAATTCATTTAACGCAAAATACAAATTGACTATTTTTCTTTATACAGCCCGTTTTTGATTGTATTTATTATTATAATAAATTTGTATTGCTGTTCGCTTCCATTTCGGTCCACCGCGCAAATTTATTATTAAATAAATATAGAATAAATGTAACGGAGTTTGTTTACTTTTGAATACGGTTTAATCGAGTGCGCTATAAAGACTGAGGAATAAACGTTAGAAAGAAATATGTGTTGAATCAAATCGGTTTTTCGTTAATGCGGTTTCTTCGTAGGTATAAACAAGGTATATATTATGTTGCAGAATCTTCATTTGAAAGATTATATGAAAAAGGATCAGATGAATTCGAAACCAAACTATTGAAATTACTTTGGAAGACAGGTGCTGACATCAGGACTATTGAATTGATTGTTTAAATCTGAAATTGCGTTGAGAAGAGCTTGAGTAAGTTTTTCATATTCAGAAACTATGTGGTTATTTGTATACGGGACAGTAGGAGTGATAACAACCGGTTCTATAATTGGAAAGTTAGATTTAGTGGGCAAAACTTTATATTTTCTTTGTACCACTGATGTGTATTTCGTTCTAGTAAGACTACGGTTAACATCCGCTTGCTTATCCAGCCAACACGAGAGGCCGTATCAACACTCCTTGGCTACACCGTCACCATAGCAACGCAACATGTAACCACACAGCTCAGCAACACGAAGAGCACTACCTATAAAGAAATGACTCAGCAACATACGAGTTAGTCAGCACGGAGCTGTGGCCGTGAACGCACAGCTACTAGAGAATAGCTCTCGACTTGTACATAGGTGACTATACAAGGCTTGGCTGTTCAAAGATAGAGCGCCGCCACCCCATACTCAACCGTCAAGCCGCGCGACGGCGACACCAGCTCGCCCATCAGCACTGCGCCGACGTCGCCCAGAGCAGCGCAAACGGAGTGGCTCCGACGTCGCCCAACATCTAAGCGTCAATAGCGGAGCCGTGGTCGTGAACACACAGCTACTAATGAATAGCGCATGACTTGTAAATAGGCGATTATGCAGGGCTTGGATGTTCAAAGGTAGAGAGCCGCCTCACCACAGTCCACCGCGAACATGCGTTCGAACACACAGGCACCACTCGAGAGATACGGAAACGCATTGCGGCATGGGCCGCCAAAGCACTCGTCGACCCGGAGCTTCACGCAAAATTTCTCGCGATGGGAGCAGTATACAACGAACATGGGGGCCACTGGGGAGATGAAAGTGAACCAAAGACAGCGTTAACCGTGAATCAAGGCGAAAGGACCGCTAATGTGTCCGTTAAGCCGCCAACGCAGAGTCTGTTCACTTATCCACTACTGAGTACGCAGCCGCCACCGCAAGACCCGCCAACGACATGTGTTAAGTTTGGTTTTTGGTTCATTTCCCTATTTTAGTATTTTTAACTTTTGGCTTTTAAGCGAGCCACGCTAAAAGGATGATGGCCTCAAGGCCTATTTTTATTGATGAGACAAGTTAGAAAAACGAGGCAATGCTGCCGATTCTTGATTCAAAAGAAGTCTGTTTATTTCAGTGCACAAATACTACTTTTATAATAAATTTTACATTTCTCCTTAAATCTAAGACACTCCCACTTTTTAGTTACTTTTCCATCATTTTCATATTGTGACCAATCATAATTTATTTTTTTTTTGTAGTTTTGCATTTTCTAAATGTTCTTGTATTAAAGTCTCATTGCTTTTCTTTTACTCTAATTCAATTTATATTGACTTCTCATATATTGAGAAATATCAATTGTGAAACCAATCGTTTCACAGTTGCTCTACAG